AATATATATCACGGGTAGTAAATTTCATAAAACCTGTTGGAAATCAGTATTTGTGCCACATGACCAGAAAATTTTCGTTGTGTACATGCATGTAAATTATGTCATAGGCGTAATACTGAATAATTTCACGCGGCGTTTTGCGCGGGACTACACGCACCTGTCCGAAATATTTCAAAATGTCGGAAGCCGTCATGGCTATCTTTAAAAGGGAAGACGGGGAATCGGCGCATAATTCATAAATCTAGCTTACTGATTACGGTTAAAATATTTGAAAAGGAAGCAAGATTTGAAAAATTGTTAAAAAAAATGGATAGACAGTACCATTTAAATTCATAATGTACGTACCATAACCATCGACAGCAAATTTTAGTTTTTCAATATTTTCTAAATTTAATCTCATTCGGGTGGAACATGCAGCGAAATGAATATTTGTATAACCGTAATTAAGGACCCGTCTACACGATGCCAAAGAATTTGAAAACCGAAGAATATTTAACGTTAAAATATTTATGTCAGCAAATATTTTATGTTAAAATATCGATTGGGAATCAATTAAATAAATACCCCTCTATACGAGGGAACGTGGGTGCATAGGCGGGATTTTAAACGCCACGCGTCATGTCGTCGTTTTCATATCTTTTTCAAATTTATTGGGCAAAGCCGTTCTCGCGTATCCGCTCAGTGGTTCTCAAATTCCGCAGGTGCAACACACTTGGCATGCTTTACAACAAGTCTTCTTAACTGCAACCGTCACGAAAATTACATGCAAAGACTCTGTGTTATGTGAAAAGGAGGGATAATTCCGGCGGCCCTTTGTTGAAGCCAATCCTGGACCAAATTGAAGGAATTTTAGTGTAATCTTTTAACACTCTTTAGTTTACTTTTATTGGTAGTGTGTTTGCCTTTTGATGTTGCATATTTCGTTCAAAACAACGTGCTTTCGTTTACTGAGTATACTGTTTAATTTCATGAAAGCGAAACAATTTTGCATAATAAGACGTTTGCATAATAAGAATTCGCCATATTGCGCCGTCACATAAAACAAAATTATTTTGTCGGAGCCTTTTGCCTTTACGACTTGGTATAATACAGCCATATCTTCAAATAAACATTCTTAAAACTTTCACATTATTATTTGGCGGCGTATTTGACACATTTCACTTTACATCAACGCCAATATCATTATATTTAAAGTAATGTAGCTATAAATGAGATTGTGGTAGACAAAACATTGTAAATTCTTTGTCTTGAAACATTTTATAATGACTGTATGTTAAAGCAATCCATTTTAGCAAAAAGCATTTAACTCTTTATTATGTAGGAAATGCTTCTTTAAAGGGATTTCCAAAAATCTACACTTACCATGCACATAATCTATTTCCCCACATAATCTATTTCTATTATTTTGGTGTGAAATCAATCTGTTATCACAACTTCAATTTGTAATCACTAGATTATTGAATTCCACCTCAAATTCAAATATATTCGAAAAAAATATACTTCGCCAAAGCCTGAGCAATTATAGTTAATAAATTAAGCAAACATGGAGGACAAAGAAAATTCTTCTCTGAAAGAGAAAATAAATATTTGTTGAAGAAAGAGGCCTGCAAATACGATAGTGAAAGTAATTTGTATTTTTGTTTTAAAACTCTTTTCCGGCTGATCAGATGACGTTTAAAAGTGGTCGGCTCAGTTTTAATATGCGTCTCCTGCGCGAATACTTGACCGATTTTAATAAAAATTGAACCATTTTAAAGAGGAAATTGTCCTCAATAGATAGATTTTTTTAGTTCTGTATGCAAATTCACTATAATATTTACTTTAAAATGCATGCGATTCATTTATTATGATTTTGGGCACTTCACTCGATGTAGGTAAATTCTAGAGGTTTAAAGGATCCTAATTTCGAGTCGAATTATACACATTTCAAATTCAAGCCAGGAACAGTTGATGGAAAAATGAGTCAACTATAGGTCCTACGGCAGGAATCCGGAACCTACGCTTTTGCGATGCCGCCGCAATGCTCTTGCCACTGAGCTACATGTAGGGTAGCTGACAAGAGCAAACGTGGTTAATGTGTATAGGATGGCAATGCCGGGAATTGGCGAGGGTAAATCGATTATGATTTTTGGCACTTCACTCCATGCAGGTAAATTCTAGAGGTTTAAATAAAGGATCTTAATTTCGAGTGGAATTATACACACTTCAAAGTCAAGTGTGTTTGAAGTGTGTATAATTCCACTCGAAATTAAGATCCTTTAAACCTCTACGATTTATTTATTATTAGATATTATAACTCAAAGCATTGTGCCCAAAAGGAAACGGAAACTGGTTACAGTGATTTAGTTCACATTTCTAGGATCATTTTGATATATCTAGCTTCAAAATCGAGGCTTTAGACGATATGCGTTGATTTTTTACATAGACATTCATAATCTGCATGATGTATTATCGCATCGCTCACGGCAAGCATTTCACAATAATAAACAGATTCAACAAAATGTCGGGGAAAAAAAGCGGAAAAACTGACCCCTTTGGTCCAATTTTACGTCAGGAATCGATTTTTGCGGTCAAATAGACCTTAGGAAGTGGTGCATCACAGACTTTTGTCACATTTTTGAACTGCGTGACAATACGGATTCTGAACAAGCACTAAGCACGCGCTTAGCAACGCTCAACAAGGCTCATCGCTTAGACCTTAAAATGGCTATTTCTACGATTTTTTGGACATCTTAATCCAAAAAAAACTCTGAATTATAACAGAAGAATAAAAACGTAAAATTTGGACAGTCTGAGGACAACAGAGAACGAAAAAAAAAAAAAAAGGAATTACGAAAAGTATACGGTTGCCATGGGTGAGTAATTTGAGATGACAATGCAACCTAGTATTTTGAATTATATTACAAATGTGGCTTTTAACTATCTGCTGATTTAAATATACTATTTGTATGAACTCTTCAAGCGCTATCGTTTGGTGGTATTCCGGTATCTTTAGCCGAAATACTTGCAGAAGATATTCTATGTTAAGCAAGGGTCCCTTCTATGACCCCAAACGACCAAATGGAAAAGAGATAAATTTTTAAAAATTGCCAAGAAATTCCTAGAAATTAGGGTGTCTAAATTCATCCGAATTGAGTTAGTTTATGTTCCGCATATGTCATGAAAATGAAATTCAAGAAGGCTACATGTTTTGGTATAACAACCTTGACTTGAACAATCTATGTTAAGTGAAACGGCAACTCGGTCGCTATCCTTGAAACAAATTTGAAGCCAAAATGAAATATTTCATTTTATGTCTTACTATTTTGCGGTATCATTTTTACATTCTATTATTCTCATTAATATTGGCTTTATACCTTCTAAATATCGTCATAATTCATTCATTCATGCAATGTGCTTTCGTTTTTCTGCCAATAAGTTATTAATTTCACTCAGACTTATCGAAAATGAATTCGAAACCATATTTTAATGATAATTTGGTATATTGCATGGGTGACGACCGTAAATAAAAGTATTTTGTCCGAATGGCCAGAATCATAGTGTGTTCAAAAGGTATAACTGAATGTTAGATGATTGGGTGCATTGAGTGGCATTAGCCTCTCATTCAGAATTTATATAATGTGTTTTTCTTAGAAACACGGGTAGAAGATTGTTTAACAAGTGCGAAGAGAAAAGGGGATAAAAGTTGTTTTCACAAACAAAGCAATCATATTATTGAAGTCTCAGTTGGTAAGTCGTTACTCATTCATTGTCATTGACCGTACTTTACGTCTTAAGTCGATTACCTTGTCGCAAGAGGTTGGAATCGTTGTAGAAAGTATTTCTAATCAGTATTGTGTAGACAGTATAGTCCTCTTAGTCTATGGTCTTATAAGATCCTTTAAACCTCTACGATATATTTATTATTACATATTATACCTCAAAGCGGTCTAATCCTTAGAATGTTGCCCAAAAGGCAAACGGAAACTGGTTACAGTGATTTAGTTCACATTTCTAGGATCATTTTGATATATCTAGCTTCAAAATCGAGGCTTTAGACGATATGCGTTGATTTGTTACATAAACATTCATAATCTGCATGATATATTATCGCATCGCTCACGGCAACGCTCATCGTTAAGATCTTATAATGGGCATTTCTCCGATTCTTTTGCACATCCTAATCCAAAAAAAGCTCAGAATTATGACAGAATAGTAATATGTAAAATTTAGACAGTCTAAAGACAACAGAGAACAACAGAGAATTAAAAACAAGGAATTCGAAAAGTATGCGGTTGCCATGGGTGAGTGGTTTGAGATAACGACGCGACCTAGTATTTTGACTTATACTACAAGTGCGGCTTATCAGTAAGATGTGACTATCTGCTGATTTTGATGTGTTATTTATATGACCTCTTCAAGTAGGTCCCTTCCATGACCCCATAAGTCCAAATGGAAAAGTGATATATTACATTGCCAAGAAATTCCTAGAGATTAGGGTGTCTAAATTCATCCGAACTGAGTTAGTTTATATTCCGCATACGTCATGAAAATGAAATTCAAGAAGGGTACGTGGTATAACAACCTTGACTTGAACAATCTATGTTAAGTGAAACGGCAACTCGGTCGCTATCCTTGAAACAAATTGAAGCCAAAATTAAATATTTTATTTTATGTCTTAATATTTGGCGGTATCATTTTTACATTCCATTACTCTTATGGATATTGGGTTTATACCTTCTAAATATCGTCATATTTCATTCATTCATGCAATGTGCTTTCGTTTTTCTGCGAATAAGTTATTAATTTCACTCAGACCTATCGAAAATGAAATCGAAACCATATTGTAATGATAGTTTGGTATATTGCGTGACGACTGTAAATAAAAGCATTTTGTCCGAATGGCCAGAATCATTGTGTGTTCAAAAGGTATAACTGAATGTTAGATGATTGGGTACATTGAGTGGCATTGGCCTCTCATTCAGAATTTATATAGTGTGTTTTTTTTAGAAACGCCGGTAAGATTGTTTAACAAGTGCGAAGGGAAAAGGGGATTAAAGTTGTTTTCACAAACGAAGCAATCATATTGTTGAAGTCTCGGTTGGTAAGTCGTTACTCATTCATTGTCATTGACCGTACTTTACGTCTTGAGTCGATTACCTTGTCGGGCGATGTTGGAATTGTTGTAGGAAAGTATTTCTAATCAGTATTGTACAGTCCTCTTAGTCTATGGGTCTTCCAAATTCTGAAGCAATACAGAAACCGAAGAAAGACGTACTAATGAGATCGCGTATGCTCCTACGCCTCGGCATATACCTTTAGGACAGTGGAGCTTGATTTATTATTATAGTCCACAAGTTACAACATTCTCATGATGAGTTGGATTAAGGCATGGAAGTATTTATCAGCATCAAAATACCTTTTTAGAACAGCTTGTCATAGTGTGACGTAGCACACCACTCAATCGAAATTTTTTAAGGGTGGGTCGTTTGCCGTTGGGTTGAAAACCTACCATTTTCATGCCGGATATTAGCTGTTATGGGGACTTCGCTTTTAACGGCCAAAATGGCTAAATCGGTCATATTTTGAGGGTAGTTTTTTCGGTGTAAAGGAAAATACCCAATGTATTGCATGTTACACATCCAGTTAGTGACCTTTAAAACAATCTACATGCATGCGGGCTTGCCGGAACCATTTAGAAAAAAGGGCGTGGTCCCAACTTGCAGCACATTTTCTTCCTTCAGCGAAACAAATTTCAACAAGGAATAATCCATGGCCTTGACCATGACTTGCACATGACTATGACCATGGCTTGCACTTGACCATGGCTATGACTTGCACATGACTATGGCCATGACCTGTACATGACTATGACCATGACTTGCACATGACTATGACCATGGCTTGCACATGACTATGACATGACTTGCACATGACTATGACTATGAATTGCACATGACTATGACCATGAATTGCACATGACTATGACCATGACCATGACCATGACCTGTACATGACTATGACCATGACCTGCACATGACTATGACCATGACCTGCACATGACTATGACCATGACTTGCACATGACTATGATCATGGCCTGCACTTGACCATGGCCATGACCTGCATATATGAAGACAGAATGGTTTAAACGAACGGCTTAAAATAGATGTCTTTTTGACTATTTTAGCCAGTAAATTAATAAGTCTTAACTATCAGTCAGATTATTATTTGTAAACAGTCAAAAAAAATTATTGCTTGATTTTGTACAGTTACACGTCTGGGGCCGGTTGTTCAAAAGCCGGTTAGCTTAACCCAGGGTTAACTCAAATTTTCACATCAATATTTCTATGAAATTGAACATGTTTTTTTCATTAATATTTTGTGGATCAGTAGAAGTCTTCTTTTGTGAAATCTTGAAACAAACAGCGGTGCAGAAGCATATAAACCAAAACAGCGGAGTAAAATTTAACCCAGGGTTAGCGCTAACCCAGCTTTGAACAACCGGCCCCAGATGTAACTATTTTTTATAAAGACTTAAAAATAATAATAGTAATACTGACCATGAACGTGACCATGACCATGATTTGCACATGACTATGAAACTGGTGTTTTACTTTTTTTCTTCAAATTCTTGCAGACAAAATGGCATGCAGCTCAAAGACACCCTCGAGAAGTAGAGATGACGGTCAGTATAGAGCAAATAACATTAGCCTATAAAAGCATCAATTTAGAATTGAAACTGTTTGTAGCAGGATATACGAAGCTTGCAAATTCTATATTGTACCGTAGGCGGCACAGAAATCAGTTTGGTAACGTTATTTATCAATTATGTAAATACATTTTCGATTTAAATCTGGCTAATGCTTGTCCTAGTCACTGACCTCGATGCATGCATGAATAGTCGGTACAGTCGTACAATCTTATAACATGACAAAGTATACGCAGATCTCACGCGGAAAATTTGCTCAACGTGACCCTGAAAACCGAAGTATCAAAGTACATTCAAATACATACTAGAATTCTTTCAAAAGCAATTCGCGGGTTTATGCAATTTGTGGGATTTTTTAATTACGTGTTAGATTCCACACAGAATTGCAACGCACTTATATTATTTACGCCTACTTGTGCCTTATTTTTCGTTTTCAGTGCACGTGCTTTGTCTATATATGTGTTGTTATAAAAGTCATGTAAGCTACTGTCCTCAAAGAACTTTTTGCGTTCGAAGAAGGAGAACGCTTCCTAGCCGTGTCATATCGAGATTTGCGATGTCAGATTTGCCTCGTTCTGATGTGTCGCCATAGTAACTGGAGACCATGTGCTCGCTCTACTTTGACAGCCATCACTGTTGTTAAATTACTCATTTTGCGGGTAACCTTTTGTATCACATACGCTGTGATCGAGCCTGTGACCTTATAATGTTAACATTTTTGTTAATGATCGTTAACCGAAATCAACACATTTCGAACGCACATCACTAATCTGTGATTACTGCTAGTTGTAAATCCTGTCTTTAAAACTTTTATATCCTGTTAGGACTGACCCTCCCTCCCTGGTGGTAGTTAATTTGAAGTAAATTTACCTTAATTGTGAAATCCCTGAAAAAACCCACTGACGTGTTGATGCAATCTTTGCTTCAATCTGTTGGATCACCCGACCAGAAATTAAATACAACATGGCGAGAGGCATTAAAGGCGCATATACAATGAGGCTTATTCGCACAGTCAAAACGCGAGAAATATACAAGAAAAACACGGCTTACCTTACTTGCCCATTCGTGTTTGATATTCTCTCACCAAGTTTTCAACAATTTTCACAAGGAGGCAAGATAAGACCTATTTCAAATAGCTGGTTCCATATGTTATTGAAATTGTACAACAACGTTGAGTGACAAGTTTAGGTCCGTATAATATCGTCATATTACAACCTTTTCGTGTCCAAAAGTCTTGTTAGTCCGAATAATGATCAACCCGATATGTGTAAAAAATACGCAACGTTCTGTAACTTAAACTGGTTTCAAATGGCGTTACAGATTTTTCTCGTAGCTAATCTGAAGGCCTACTCCTGGTTATGCTAATATTTTTGTGTTTGTTCACTCGGAAAACAATCAATTTCTAAAGGAATGAATAATTATGATAACTTTGCTTTAATTGTTAAAATTCTATCGTCTGGCTGGCTACACCACTGCGCAAAACATTTAGCATTTTATTTCTTGTTATGCAATGTGATTTGATATGAATGATATACTTGTAAATTACTTTTTTCTTAAGCAAAACCTAGCAAGGTTACGTCATTCTCGCGTGCGCCCGCAATCTAATAATACAACAACCGCTGACTGTATCAAATTTCTGGCCAGGTTTCAAATTATATAAGAGAAATTTATAAAATAGCAGGCAAGATTGCATGGAATCAATTAATTAGCTATAATTGCAATTAGGAATGTCAATGTTCAATTTACTAGGTTTCAGGCAACTGTTGCCATGGTTGAACGGGGGAAGGTCATATTTACAAGCAAAACAGCAAGGTAAATATCATAGAGTATACTTAAACAATGCGGGTAGAATTTGATGAATTTCAAAAAATTAGCACTTCACATTGTAGTTTAATGTGAACTTTGTTCAACCCTGCAGTATTTTTCGACAGCAAGGTTTTATTCTCAAAAAGAATATATTTATTTTCTATATAGTTATTCCATTCTGTTCAATAAGTTAATAGTTAAGTAAATTAGCTTGTAGGTACACCACGTCGATATGTAACACTGCAAAGCTTTCGGTTCGTATTTTAACGTGCTTGTGAAATTAACAAATTAAGCTTAATGCATATTAGGACATGTGTGTAACAAAGTTATGAAGTTACTAATTAACAAAATTATTATTAACAATTAATGAGACCTTTATGGAGAATTACAGATGTATACATGTGACCAAAATACTGCGCAATGATTGCAAGTTAGACTCATTAATTATTCATGAATTTCACAATTAATAATAATAATCTTAATTTTCTCTCAATAGACTTTCGAACAGTAATCTTTCCAGGAATGCTGGGCGAACAAAATAAAGCTGCCGTCGAGGTAATGAAATTGTTATGCATTTAGTTGATGGTGTTCGTCCAGCTACTTCAATTACCCATAACAAAAAAATGGCGGATGTACTTTTACCAGAATGCATTGCGCTCGGAAATGGTTTAAAAAAGCGCTGACGTCTTTTAAAGGACAAACATAAAACAGGAAGTTATTTTCTTCGCTGTGTTAAAATTTCACGTCATTAAGAGTTTTTCTTGCCATCTTTTTTCAATCAATCGTTCTTAATGCCTGCAATGCATTCTGGTAAAATGTACATGCCGCCACGAATTTCAAAAAAATTAGTACTTCACATTGTAGTCAGGGGCGAAACTATTACATTTAATGTGAACTTTGATCAAGCTCTGCAGTATTTTGAACATGCCGCCATCTTTTTCGTTACGGTCAATTGTAAAACACGTTCTGCTGAAAGATATCTTTTTATTCGTCGAAATAAAAAGAAATTCGTTTCACTAAAAGGCAGCGTTTTTAAAACAATTAATGCTTCATTTTTTAGCACACAAGTGCCGAATTGGTTGCAATGGCGAAACAAGCTTTGTCTAGAGCGGAGCTAGATATTGCTGAAAAACACTGTTCTCAAGCCGTACGAAAGCAAATACTAGAGAACAGGTCGACTGAGGTGAGCTGGCAGCCACATTTCTGCCTAGGGGAAGTCTTGGAGACGAAAGCAGCGAAAATTACTGGGAATTCTTTAGAAAAGCAGAGACTTCTTCTTCAAGCAGGGGCGCTGTACAACTTCGTGAAGAACTGCATAAAGAAAGGTCGTGCCGGCACGGATTGCTTGATTGAGACAATGAAGCGGTGTCTAAACGACTGCTGGGTATTGAAAACAACTTAGTGTTATCAGCTGAAGGAGATCCACTTCGATGTGATTTTGACTCAGAACTTGACAAGAAGGAGCTGGAGGAACTACGAGACGAGGCGAAAGAATATTTGGAATCGTTGAAACAGAAAAGGTCAGCCTACGATAGCCAAGAGCACGAAAAGCCGGAGAAGAAATTTGTTGAACGGGCATCGGAAATTAGGAAGTTATGTGAAAGAATATCATCAAGAGTGAAACGTTTCCTGAGCAGAGTTATCAGTCAATGCGTCCAGGTGTTAGGAGATCCGCCATGCGACTACGAAGTTGTTGTTCTGGGGTCTTTGGCCCGAGACGAAATGACGCCATACTCCGATCTTGAATGGGCCATATTGATAAGTTCAGAGGAAGTGAAATGCAAAGTGTTCTTTCGTAATTTAACGAACTTGGTTCACTTACAGGTAAGTAAATGAATCCCATTTCATTGTCGGTATAAAAACTGTAGGCTTTTAGCGTGGCAACGTGGCTAGGGATATTTTATGAGGTAGGGCTCGCTTTGATAATTTTGCATGTCTAACGTCAGGATGTACACCTAAAGGGGAAACGTAAATTTGTGTTTAAATCTAATAAATCATTGATCAATTTGAACTTCAAATCTCCTCCAGTCAATTTGCAGTATACTAGATCAGGTGGATACTTCCTTGAAAAGCATTTAGGATGAGTCTTTGGCATACCAGCAAGGGTACAGTCAACCTCCTAGCCAAAATCCATCTGTCTTAATGGATCACTCGCATAATAGACCAACTTTTGACTCAAGCAAAAAAAACTGCCAAGTTTGGCTGCGAAATATTGTAAAGTGTACCGAAGATATAGCCAAGCGAACTTGTATACTCTTAGCCGAAAGAGTGTAATTAAATTAATTACACATTTTCGCCCGTAATACAGAAGTGTACAAAAATTGATTACTTCACACACTTTACATGGCTATATTTTCCGTACTACCCGACATTTTGCAGCCAAACTTGGCAATTATGCTAATTCCAATATGCCCTTCCCTTCTTAGCTGTGGTGATTTTTTCCCTTCTTGTTACCTACTTGAAAAGTTGGTCTATCATTCTGCAAGATATGCAATGTATCTAACCTAAGACTGCTTTTCCCGCAGATAATCAACCTCGGGGAAACTATTCTACCAAGCATGGGTATCAAAGCATTGAGCGGTGAATGGTTTTACGACAATGTAACACCGAGGGGGATATCCTTTGACGGATTCCTTCCACAGGCATGCAAGACTCCGTTGGGAAACATAAAAGATTTCGAGTTAATTCATTGCCCGGCTAAAATGGCAGAGTTCCAGAGCGACTCTTGGTGTCAAAAAAATCCAAATCTTGCAGATATTCTGTTAACTGTTGCTCCACTAGAATCGAATGGGCAAACAAAATTGATCGAGGAATACAGAGCACAGCTGGAAAAATATTTGTGTTCTCGTGTGATCTTAGTAATTGCCATGACAACTATATTTCTACCGGGAATCCTCCATGTCGTGGGGTGTGTAGAGGAATGGCTGGACTTCGAAAGGATTTTTCGCGCTATGAAAAGATGTTACCCAGCATTGACAAGATGCATGAAGACGGCAAACTGTACGATGTTAAAAAGGAGATTTATCGTTTAGTGGATCGTGTGTTTGCAGGTCTTGCATCATTCTTCGGGATCAGGGTGAACGGGGCATTCAAGATTCTCGATGAGCTTGAAAGGAACGGGATAATCACATCTGCAGGCCGGGAAAATTTAGCCAGTGCAGCA